CGGTACCGGTACTAGTTTTATTTTGTTGTATTTATCCACGACACCTTAAAGGCCGGTCCATGAAAATATTGTCGGGCATAAACCGGTCCGTGGCACAAAAAAGGTTGGAGACCGCTGTTCTAGGACATCGGTCAGCTGGTCAGCACAGGCTCTGAGCACACGTCCTGGTATATTATCTGGTCCGGCAGCTTTGTGTGGGTTGACTTTAGCGAGAGTCCTTTCACTCGGGCTGTGGACAGGGACAGCACTTGGTTGTCTGGCGAGGGGCTGGTTTTCCATGCTGGCTCATTGTTTTGAGTCCCAAACCTGGCATCGAATGTGTTGACTGCGTCTGGTTGAGAGGTGTCCGTAACACACGCGGTGGGGCTTTGTAATCTGTGATGGTTTGGATGTCCCGCCACATTCGCTGAGAATCTCCTGACCAGGCAAAGAGATCACTGACTTTCTTTGAGCTCGATGTCCTTGATTTGCTTGGTTGAAGTCCCCAGTGATAATGAAAAATGTTTCAGAGTCGCCTGTGCAGAGCTTTGGCTGCTGACTGTCTGGCTCGCTGAGACGCAGTGTGCTGGAAGGTAGAGCTGCAACTATTGATTACTTTACTAATCCATTACTCGATGGAAAACTCAATAGATTAATCGATAAAAATGCTTTTGTCTTATTAATGAGTAATAATATTCAAAAGAGAAAAAAATACAAGTCTTTTAAAATAAACTGCTCACTGACTTCTGTTTTAGGAATTAAAATGTTTTTGTTTCATTCGTCAGAAAACAAAACCTCTATTTACTTGTGATATTACATTTTATTTTTTAAAGAAACATTTTCTTAAAAGTAAAAATACTTGGCAGAGTCAAAGTCAAATACACGAAGATAAATACACAATCTAAACTGAGGCATAAACATCAGTCTTTACTGTCTTTGAGGCTCTACGTTTAGTGAGCCAGTATATCAGCATCCTGACGTTTGCTCTGTGCTTTGATGCAGAGCTTTTGTGCTGCTGAAAACAAGATGGTGTGATGATGTAGACGTTAATTAATCTTGGCAATAATTTCACCGTCCTACCTGAAACCTCTCAGGTCAGTTTTACTGGCACATGTACATTTTTATAGGCTTTTGGAAAAAAGCTTTAATTTTTATGTTTTTAAAGCTTCTACAGTTGAGCTTCATTTGATCTCACAGTTGTGCAAGATGAACAAATCTGAGAAGGCTTTGTGTTCAGAATGATTACAAATGTCAGGAGTGAATCAGCGCTTTGTAGAGGTTTTCTTTGTGGATGTGAATCCAGCAAACAGCATTTTGCATTGAATTTGTTTTAAAGAGCTGTCAGTAAGGAGGCCGACACCAGGGACAGACTTCAAGCACATCAAATAATAAAATCAGTCAGGTTTTGCCTGAAGTGTCGTGGATTTTTGCTAGGACCAATTCTGTTTACATTATACAT